GCACACGTCCTGCGCTCAGAGGTGATGAATTTGCTGGCAAAAGGAGCCGTAGAGCGAGTCAGGCTTCTACAGCAGTTACTTCCTCGTCCCCAAAATAGATGGTGGCCTCCGGCCCATCCTCGATCTCAGACACCTGAATCACACCCTCATGAAAAGGTCGTTCAGGATGACTACACTGAAACAGATCCTTGCGCAAATTCACTCAAGAGACTGGTTCTTTTCTCTGGACCTGAAGGATGTATACTTTCACATCCAGATAGCCCCCCGTCACAGGCGATTCTTGAGATTTGCGTTCGAGGGAGTGGCTTATCAATATACGGTCCTTCCCTTCGGGCTGTCCCTGGCCCCCCGCACTTTTACAAAGTGCATGGACGCGGCTCTTTCCCCTCTGAGACAGATGGGAATCTGCATTCTCAACTGCCTCGACGACTGGCTCGTTCTGGCCCAGTCAGAGGCAGAATTAATATCACACAGGACCCTCCTCCTCAGCCATCTGGAGTGCCTGGGACTCAGGGTCAACTTTGCCAAGAGCGCGTTGTTCCCCAGCCAGCGAATATCGTTTCTGGGAACAATTTTCGACTTAGCCCAAATGAAATGTAGTCAATATATGTAGTCGCGCCGGAACGGGCTCTGGCCATACGGAGGCTGGCGACCTCCTTCGAGATTGGTACCACTCGCCCTCTCAAAGCGTTTCAGAGGATGCTGGGCCTCATGGCAGCGGCATCGCCAGCGCTACATTTGGGTCTGCTTCGTATGCGCCCCCTTCAAACCACGGGTTCCATCCCATGCGTGGCGTCACGGACGCCTGCAGATCAGGGTGAGTCAGATCAGGTGGGCCCAACCTCCTTCTTTATGCTTTTCTCCTGATCGCCCTGATCCCACAGGTAATCAGGCGAGTAAGGGAACAAAAACACAAGGTTCTCCTGGTGGCCCCCCTTTGGATGAACCAGCTGTGGCTATCAGAGCTAACTCAGTTGTTGGCCCGTTCCGCTGAGACGGGATCTCCTCTCTCAAGCGAATAGGACAATATGGCATCCTCGGCCTGACCTGTGGGCCCTGCACCTCTGGCCGCTCGACGGGAGCCTTCGTACCTCCCAGAGCGAGTCTTAAACACAATTTCAGAGGCTAGAGCCCCGTCTACGAGATGCCTCTATGCCTTAAAGTGGTCTCTTTTCTCCGCTTGGCGTCTAAACCACGGCAAAGACCAAAATCGATGCTTCCGATTTGACAGAGGTTTTGTCATTTCTGCAAGAGCTGCTGGATAAGGGACACTCCCCATCCATGCTCAAAGTCTATGTGGCGGCTATAGCGGCTTCTCATGCCCCTATTGCGGGCCAATCGTGGGCAGAAACAGTGTGGTTATCCGCTTCTTAAGGGGTGCCAGGAGGCTGAATCCGCCTCGTCCCCCTACCGTCCCTTCATGGGATCTGCCCACTGTGCTGAGGGCCCTGAAGGGCCCCGCTTTCGAGCCGCTACAGTCTGCCAACATTCGGTCGCTATCGCTGAAGACTGCTCTGCTTCTAGCACTGGCATCAGTAAAGCGAATAGGGGACCTGCAGGCGCTCTCCGTTAGCCCTGCCTGCCTGGAATTCGGGCCTAACGACACTAAAGTCGTCCTGAAACCAAGGCACGGTTACGTACCTAAGGTGCTCTCCACTCCGTTCAGAGCACAGGTCAATACGCTCTCCGCGCTTCCTCCCTCTGAAGAGGACAGAGAGCTATCTCTGCTCTGCCCCGTCAGAGCTCTGAGAATCTATATTGAACGTTCCACCCCTTATAGGCGGTCGGAACAACTCTTTGTCAGCTTTGGTAACCGCACCAAAGGGCGGATGGATAGTAGACTCCATCTCGCTAGCGTACTCTTCTTTGGGCCTTCAATGCCCCATTGGAGTACGGCCCACTCGACTAGAGGCATCGCCTCATCTTGGGCACGGTCCAGTGGTGTGTCCATCGCGGATATTTGTGAGGCGGCCGGCTGGGCCTTGCTGTCCACATTCGCAAGGTTTTATAACCTGGAAGTCCCGGCCTTGCAGGCCAGGGTCCTTTCCACTTGAAGAGACACGATCTGGCAGAGAGCCCTTGATCTGGCAGACAGCCCAAATCTGGCTGAGAGCCCTTGGCCGTAGCACGCTCAAGTTCTCTGGCATTAGTTCACCTGTTAGCTCTCGACCCCTAGGTTTCGAAGTTACAGGAGTACTCTGGAACGATTAACCAGGCCGGGTGTGACCTCAGGAAGCTCAGCCCGTCTTAGCTTTGGGTTGTTGTTAACTTCTCTATGGGCATTGGTTGCTTTTGGAAGTTTGATACTTTTAGTCGTTCCACTACATTAGCACGGCGTGATTGTACTATGTTCCCATAGCGTCTTTAAGACAAGATGCAGTACGAGTGTAGTATCGAAAGGGAATGTACTCGGTTACTATCGTAACCTCGGTTCCCTGAGATACGGAACGAGTACTGCGTTGCTAGCAGTGCTATGTAGCTGCACGACTCAGTCGTCGCTTCAGTCGAAGTAACCTGAGAATCCTGTGGCGAACGCCCACTTATATAGCCAGATGCCCCACCCATTCTGGCGGGCTTTGGCAGGCTTTGGCGGGCTTCGTTCCGCTGTCGAGCCATTGGTTCGTTTTTAATACACTGCACGAACCAATGGCCGTGCAGTTTCACTGCGTGATTGAAAAAAGGCTTCAGTTCAGGAGAACAAAGGCTTTTTCCCATAGCGTCTTAAGACAAGACGCAGTACTCGTTCCGTATCTCAGGGTACCGAGGTTACGATAGTAACCGAGTACGTTTTGTGCTCCAGGGTCACACCTCAATTAAAATCACTTTTAGAAAGAAAACGTCCCGTAGACTGACCTGTCAATCCCATAAATGTAGGACACGGCCATCATCTCACAGAAGGCGATGATCAGTAAAGGAATGGATCCGGCGAAACCGTCGAACAGAGCCAGCCAATATTCACCTGAACCCTGAGCGAAGATAATGGCCAGACCGAACGAGACAAAACACACCAGACCTGAAACACAAGGGACTCTCCATTGGTGTAATGTTTTTTATACTGTACAAACCGTATTTTCTATCGCTCTACACCAACCCTACCCCTCACAAGAAACTGTGCACATTTTTACTTTCTCAAAAAAACTCTGTATTATTTATAAGCCTTTTGAAAAGTGGGGACATGGGGTAATGTCCTCATAAGTCACCTTCTGCTTGTAATACCTATGTCATACCCATGTCATTATACAAATTT